CTCAAGGCTGTGGATGACCGCGTTGTCCCAGCCATCAGCAGCGTTTTTTCTGTATGCCATATGCATTGATTTTGCTTTGCTCTTTATAGTTTTGTTTAGACGGAATTGGTAACCAGGTTTGGATCTGGGCACCATCACCATTCCTTCTTCATACCCATTTCTGATCTACAGTATAAGGCGATGATCAAGGTCTCGTCAGAGACTCAGACTCGACATTTTCCATCTACTCTGATGTCTTGATACTCCAAGACCTTGATCAAATGATGATTCATATATTTCCGAGGCCTCCAAAATTTTAAAAGGTTCCCTTTGCAACCTTATTTGTCTATGATCTTGGGCCTTTGCATTGATTTTGCTTTGATCTTTGTAATTTTGTTTATGCGGAATTGGTTACCAGGTTCGGATCTGGGCACCATTATCATTCCTTCCTACTCATCCATTTGTTCTTATGACCTACAATATAAGACGATGATCAGGATCTTGTGAGAGACTTGAAATTTTTCATCTATCCTGCTGTGTTGATACTCCAAGATCTTCATCAAATGATAATTGATATATTTCTGAGGCCTCCAAATTTTTTAAAGCTTTCCTTTGCGATATTCTTTTTGTACAATCTCAGGCCTTTGCCTTGCAGTCTTCTGTGCCTCTGATGATAGTTGACACATATACGAAAAGACCTTTGTGTTGTGCTTTTTTCTTTGCCGCCTTTGCTCAGCAAACAAAATTAGGTTTTTTGCCTGTTTTCTCACATTGCATACAGGGCCAGTCGGTGATCATATTTGTAATATCCAGCAAGTTGTCACTTGATTAATTCACCCAGCAGCTGCAAATAAAATAGATATGTTGTAGGTTTCAGAAGTGGCTGAAACACTTCCCTGTCTATTTTATAGGATTCTTATACCCTTCAGTTAGCTTTAATTTGTTACATGTGTTCTTAGTTTTCCCTGTGGTGGAGTTACTTTTTGATTATTAATATCCCTGGGTAATATGCTTGTGAGCCAACATTCTTCCTACCGAAATAAAATCATTAGATTTCTTTAGTGCATCTACCGTCTCTTTCATTCCAAGCGGCTTTACACCCGCAGGGATTTTTTTTTTCTGGAGGGAAAGCACACACCCACCTTATACATCATTGATTATGGTTGCTGTGAATTCAATCTGATGACCATTCCCTCGCCTTCTATACCAGCAAAAGAGTTTGCCATATATAGGAAACTCCTTGGACAAACTTATGAGGAGCGCTATAAAGGTGATATGCAGCCTCAATACAATCACATCTCATTACTGTTCTTCCCTCTATCATGCAGCCAATCAGGAACTTGAATTGACAAGATTTCGTTGATATGGCTTTCATGGACGGAACTCGGACAGCGATGACACCACACTCCCTTCCAGCTGGCAGGTAAAGCACCAGCTGCAGTTATATATTTCCTACCACTTGCGTGTTTGTTGTAAAATATCAAACACTGAGATTCTGTGTTCTAGCTGCATATCTTCCTCTCCGGCAACGCTGGCCGCTCAGCTCGGTGGCCGGATGTGGCGACAACTCACACCTCCGACCGGGGTTCTGCGGCGGCGGGGCTGGGTCATCCCCGCCTCCTCGCCTCTCTCCCACTTCACAGAGGCCCAGCCACTAGGTATGCATGGATATGGGCACTTTCCCTACTCTATTCGGAGATCGATTTCTTCGGATTTGTTCCCCTACTCTAGGCATGATATTCTTATTTTATTCAGTTACCAATGGATTGCTGCCCACTTTGATGCTGTCTACCTCTTTGTAATGAACCATGTGATGATGATTGTAGTCTTATTGGAGATTCTTTTTCTTGAAAAGAAAAATAGATTTATTTAGTAGTTGTTTTTTTAATGTATTGGCAGTCATATGTGCCTAGAATAAAACTGCAGTGGCACGGCTTAGGCAACTGCTGCATTCTATGAACCACACTGATTTTTCATAGATTTCTGTTATATTAAATTGTCCATGTTCTTTTACCAAATATAGCTGTTCCTTTAAGTACAAGCAGTTTTAAGAAAGTCTCCTGTTTAGGTGACAACCTTATTTTGGTCCTTCACTTCACATTCACACATTCCTGAGATTCTGTGCTGCTCATGCCGACCCTGCTTTTCCTTATTAAGAAAGCTTACATGATGTTTTCCCTCTTCTTTTATTACGTTGCAAGCACTTACAGTTCTGTTACATGCCAACCACCTACTTTAGGTGTAGACCATTCAGCAAAGTTTATATCAATCCCTTTTCCTAAGTAGAAATAGTAAAAGTAATCTTGTGCAGACTATATCAGCCATCATTCGGAATGAACTGTAAATGATTGTTTTCATTAGAGTTGAATAATACAATTGCTTGATTGATATCAGCTAACACTGGTTTTTACCATTTCTAGAAAAAAAGGATGTTTCGTGCACTCATTCTAGCCTGCAATGGATCCTTAATTTGTGCTTCCTATTCTTCTGTTGTCGTTTACCCACGGGATATTCTTCGTATTTCCCAACTAATGCTGGTTAGTTCCTATTGATTGTGCAGATTGCCCTCTAGCTGAAGGGCTCATTATATTGCCGCCCACTGCCTGCAATTGTGGAATTATTTTTCCAAAGTTCAGGCTGCTATAGCACGAGCATCTGTAAAGCTCATTCGCCTTCTTCATTATTTAGTGGATGTGTTTGAACCTTTTTTTTGCCAGCCTGGGAATCGCTAAGCTCATAGAATTGGTCAGGTATGCTATTATGATCTATTCTTTTCTTTCAGTTTAGTCCAGGGAGGTATTTGGTTAGCAACTGTTTATACCGAGACTCTTTTACATGTTCTATGACCTAAGTCCCAATACATCAGTCATGCATTTTTGTTCTGAACTTCCATCCATACTATTTACTTCACCCGAATGTTACTATTTGTTGACTTCATCTCCTTATAAGCCACAGTATGGGCACCACCTATTGTAATCCATGTGCCTTGGCTTCGTTAGGACACTAATTTGACTCAGCTAGACGAAACCACTCATTCGGTCCGAGAGCTTACCAGTCTTAATTCCTTCAATTTCCCTCTGTTTTAGCCATTGTTCCATTAATTCTATAGTATTACACAAAATCTGAGTATATACATTTATTTTACTTGATGATCTAAAAAATCTTAGAACTTTAGGTTTCTCGGCGAGGGTATTTTTAGCAATGGGAACTAACGGTGTTCCAAATGGTACCCCCTTCCGTGAAGCCAACAGGATACCCCTCGCCACCGCCTGATGGAACTTATAGGTCGCCCTTGCTTGGTGGAGTTCCTTCTGCTGGTTACCTGGACACAACATATGGGTATGACAGCACAGGGGCACTCTTTGCATGATATGATGGCTCTGCTTATGCAGATAGCCAGCAATGAACAACTACAACTAATTATTTTCCATCCTCAACATTCAGTGGCAATGGTTCCTCAGCAAGAAATCAGAACAAGAACTCCACCGCGCACCCGAATTCTTGGATAATATTTCTATTAAATGCAGCTGTGTTCTTTATGTATTTTTCCCCCGCTTATGCATGTTCCCTTCAGGTCTAATGATTGTACTGTTTCATAGTCGCTATAGGATAAATGTTGTTGCTTTTTCATGGCTCTTAGTTTAACCAGATAAGAAACATAATAATGTTCTGTAGATTCCACTTTGTGTTTTGATACTTCAACGGCAGATTCAGTTTGTGTCAGTACAAGAAATATGTGCTTCCTGAGCAGGTTATACTTTGATTGTGTATTACATTTGTTGCCAGGGTCACTCATGATTGAGCAGGTCCTAGATCTGGCCGCTTATGGTCATACTGTCACTATTGCTATCAAAAGGCAGAGCCTTCCTTCTGGTGAAAATATTGTCACTATAATGGTTTGGACAGAATTTTATTACACGCAAGACTGAAAATATTGTACCCCAAATTTAGAACCACATAGTACCTTTTATGATGCCCTGATTGCTTTAGCAATGTCTTTGTGCTGTGGCATCAGCCATGTAATCTCGTGAGGATACCATGCCACACCTATACTGCTTTAGCCTCCACCTTTGGTTCATGGTTCACTTTGGTTGGGCAGTACCAGTACGCAGTGGCTCCTTTCTTTGCCACTTGGGTGCCTATTACTATCAAGGCATCTCGCTGTTAATAATTGGATTGGATTATGGTGACACTGCAAGATGTAGTTGAATCTTGACAAAAAAAGATTCATGTATAGAATTGAGACTAGGCTCTCAATGTTTTGATTCGTATGGCCCATTATATGCTAATGGTGTGGTGTGGATTACTGAAACTATGCTGAAAGCCTCTTTGCTTATGATCTGTTGTACTAAGCATTTGGATTTATTTTTCCGATTAAAAAACCAGATTCATTTTTCATCTTCCCTATAGGTTGTCATTGTTTCTGCATGATTTATTTCAAATTCTGATATGCGGATGTAACTCATATTTTTTGTTACACATAGTCTACAAATAAGGAATAGCAAAATGGAGATGCCCTCCTTGTTTTACATGTACTATGACTGATCTGAGTTATGTGCATAGTTAGTTCCTAATGGCATTATCTCACATCTTTTTTTTTTTGTTTCCAGATATAATCACGGAAGGCCGTGATGTTAAAGGGTGGCCCAATGTATGCCTTGCTGTAGCAAGTACTCCCCTTTTGTTAGGCCTTCATCTATGTCCCGCTATAGTAATCGACATCAACCCATGTATGCCTTGCTGCGGCCTGACACCGAAGGGAGCAATGCCATGTTCCTAATGAATAATCATGGTTCATGAAAAGGCTTACATTTTTTTTGGAAAAAAGATGTTCCAAGTATTTTGTTACCCCTTTTGTTTATCATTCCGCGCGATGGCGCGCGGGTTACACTAGTATATAAGATAACCGTTCTCAACGCCTAAACAGCCTTGTCCATTGATAACTTTCCTGACTCACCTCACTCTCCTACAATCTTGGCGTCGTCTGCTTCAAGATTACGCCAGCATCTCGCTAGGAAAACATGGCTGGCACTCCGCGCGGCCTGCTTCTAGCCATCGTCCTCCTCGTCGCCGGCACCATCGTGCCGGCGTCCGCAAAGGACTACACGGTCGGCGACACGTCCGGGTGGAAGCCCGGAGTGGATGCACTGCCTGGGCCAAGGGCAAGCCGTTCACCATCGGCGACACGCTCTGTACGTGCCAAATGCAGCAGCATGTTCTCGTAATGTCAGTAGCACGTTCATTCGTCTGCGCCTCCGCGGGTATCTCATGAACGGAAAATCCAGTGACCGCGGCTTGCCGGTTTTTGCAATTTGCATTGCAGCGTTCCAGTACAGCTCGGCGCACTCGGTGCTGGAGGTGAGCGAGGCGGACCACAGCGCGTGCTCGGCGAGCAACCCGCTGCGGTCGCACCGGGACCAGAGCACCACCGTCCCGCTCACCAAGCCGGGCACCCGCTACTTCATCTGCGGCGCTCCCGGCCACTGCGCCTCGGGGATGAAGCTCACCATCACCGTCTCCGGCGGCGGCAGCGACAGTGGCAGCAGCGCCGGCCCCGCCATGCGGGCGATGAACACGACGCCGGCGGCTGGTGGCGCGACGACGACGACCTGCCACAGAGAGCAGCAGGCGGCCAACAGCGAGTCATAACGCATCGACACACAGAGAGGAAGGACGCGGCTACCCAATTCAAACCGAGCGGCGGCGGCAAAACGAAACATAGCGGGGGCGGCGGCGGCACGCAGGAAGGCACAGCGGCGGCAGTGCAGGAAGCCCACGGTGTTGCAGGAAGCCCGCAGCGGTGGCGATCGTCGATCGTCTACGTACCGGCGGCGTCGATCGTCGAAGTTCTTTGGCGCGACGACGGAGACCGGCGCGGGAAGGATCGGAGAAAAGCGCGGCGCGAAGGCGGAGACCGCGCGGGAGAAGGATCCAGGCGAATCAAGAGCCGCGTAAAAGAGGATAGATTAGGAGTTGCTCTCATCTTGCTAAAAACAAACGATTAGGAAAGAAAATAGAGAACTCTTGAAGATGCTCTTAGATGGTGTGTGAAGACTATGGCGGATCCGGAATTTAAATGAAGAGAAAAATTTACCGTCGGTCCCTGATATATGTGGGTCTTTAAACTTGGCAGAGGGTGTCATTTAGGTCCCTAAACTTTCAAGGTGATCACCGCAGGTCTCTAAACTTGGCAGACGGTGTCATCCAGGTCTCTAAACTTTCAAGGTGACCATTGCAAGTCCATGAACTTAGCCAACGGTGTCATCCCGGTCCAAACATGGTTTAACTCACTCTATAAGTTGGTGTGGCATGCTGACTGTGAGTTAGACGTGTATCCAACATGTGTCAATTAATCAATCATTATTTATATAATATTTATCATTAAATTATAATTATGTAAAATAATTTACATCAACAAAAAAATAAATTAAAGTATTAAAAAAATTTACAACAACAAATATATTAGGTTTAAACTAAAATAGAAAAATACTAAAATTAATTTAATATTTATGTATCATTAATAGTATTAAAATAGTATTAAAAGTTACCTATAGTATTTAAAGTTTTCTCTATTAAAAATTACTTTTAATTCTAGTATTATTTTAAAGTTTGAATAGTACTATTATAGAAGTAGCTTTTCTCTATTATTCATACTATAACACCTTCATTAAAACTTTTAATACTATAATAGTATTATTAAAAGTTCTAATACTATAATACTAGTATTAGAACTTTTAATAATAACATTATTAATAGTAGTATAATATTATACAATAATACTATAAATATTATTATTTTCTAATTTTAATATTATTTTAATACTATTAATGATACATAAATATTAAATTAATTTTAGTATTTTTCTATTTTAGTTTAAACCTAATATATTTGTTGTTGTAAATTATTTTATATAATTTATAATTTTATAATAAATATTATATAAGTAATGATTGATTAATTGACCCATGTTGGATCCACGTCTAACATAGAATCAGCGTGGCATACGAGCTTATAGAGTGGGTTAGACCATATTTGAACTGGGATGACACCGTCGACCAAGTTTAGGGACCTGGATGACGCCCTTTGCCAAATTTACGGACATGCGGTGATCACCTTAAAAGTTTAGGGACCTGGATGACACTCTTTGCCAAATTTAGGAACCCATAAATATCACTTAGAAAGTTCAGAGACCTACATGACACCTTGAGCCAAGTTGAGAAACCGACGGTGAATTTAGTTCATTATTCCTTTTCCCTTGCACGACCCTTTCAAAATGTTTAAAGAACCAGATCATATCAAAATCCGATTTGAAATGGATTTTCAAATCATTGTTCAGACTCTCACTCAATTGTGTACTTCTTATTTCTAACGTGAAGACATCTTTCATATAACATTCAGCCTATTTTTCTTTAAACTTGTAAATACTGTCTAACCAAGTTTGCTTGCTCACCTTTTGCCTCATGAGGTTAAACTTGCAATGTCTTCATACTCAAACATGCATGCACTAAAATATGACAGAATACTTGTTTCCTCATTCTCCTCATTTTTCCTCCTTTTTCTTCTTCCTTTTCTTCTCTTTTTTCTTCTCTTGACTCTTATCCGTTCTATTCTCTTCGTTCTCCTCTTCATTGTTCTTTTCATGTAGAAGTTTGACTGCATTTTGCATGATGTGAAAGATGCATAATCCATGCCATGCTTCTGTAAACACTTGAGAAACTGCCTTTTTCATTGCAGCATCTTGATCTGTATAAAATGTTTTAGGTTGTTGTCCATTATGAGATTTTAGAAAGGTCTCAAATAGCCACTTGAAAGATTCAAAGGTTTCATCATACATGAGAGCAGCCCCCAAAATAACAGTTTTCCTAAAGTGATTGAATCCGATGGATACACCAAAAGGTCTACTCTCTTTGTTTGTTCTAAAAGTAGTGTCAAAACTAACGACATCAACAAAATATGCATAGTCCATGATCATTTTAGCATCGACCCAAAATATGTTTGTTATCTATTCTTCACAATCCATTTGCAATGCATATTAGAATGATGGGTTCTCAGCAATTTTGTCATGAAAATACTTGAGCATGCTACCTGCTTGACCGTATGCTATCTCTCGTTGGCGCTTGGTACGCAAATAATTCTTGTGATCACGAAGGGTGTAGCCAAGATTGAGTGGACCACTAACTTGACGACAAGCCAACTCATGTGCAGCTTTTGGTCCAATTCCCGCATCATCTGCTGTTTTAATTTCAAAAGCTTGTAAATTTGAAATTTTCCTTTGTGACGCCATTAGGTGCAAGGTTGCTGGTAGGTGTAGTGCATGATTGTGTTCCAAAACTAAGTCAAACACTATCAGAGTTTCCTTCTTTCGGACAATTTTAAGATTCATGTGGACTTGACAATTGGTTCTAGTTTTAGCTCGAGGGCACTTTGTTAAATGATCCCTTTTATCTGGCAACCGATGACCCTCATTTGCACAAATAAATTTACCATCAAAAGGTCTTTTGTTTGTATACCTTTACCTAACCTCAAAGCCTTTCTGTCCACCATAGCTCAGCCAAAATGTCCAAGTTTCATCTGAAGTTCTAAATTCCATGCCAACGTGAGGTACAAAATTAGCCATCAAGCTCTCTCTTAACAGAATAGAAAAGCAGACCACAAAGTATGAGGTTGGTTCATATTCGTTCAAAAACATGAGAACAATGCATATTCATAAAAGAGCAGTCATGAGATTAGTGCATATTCATGAAAGAGCGATATCAACTCTCTTTGTTCAAGGAAAAAAGACTAAAAAGTTAAAAAAAATCATGCCACAATAAATAGTTACATGGTATGACACATATTGACAAAAGAAAAGCCATGAGATTGAGTTACACACCTATTTCCTTTCACTTCAGGACCTTTCGGTTCCATTTTAATTGCATACCTAAGCTACATCTTTCTTGAGAAAGGGAGTGATTTCAACAAATCTCAGAACAATCTGACGAAGACAGATCAATCAAATTCAAATATCCATTCATGACATAGGGCGTGTTTAGTTCAGGGGCTGTAAAGGTTTTGGGATACTGTAGCACATGTGTAACTATAACAATTAGTATTTAATCATGGACTAATAAGACTTAAAAGATTCGTTACGCAAAATATATACAAACTGTGCAATTAGTTATTTTTTTATCTATGTTTAATGCTACATACATATCTCCAAACATTCGATGGAATAGGGTAGCAAAGCAGATTAATCCACGGGACTTACGCAGGTGAAAAGAGAGTGCAAAAATCCGTCGCCGTCGATGGATCGACCTCCTCGGACGAACTCGCCGGCTGAAACTACCTTTTTTTCCCGCGGCGTCCACGATCTCCCGCTCGTTTTCTGTCCACCAGCGCGCTAGCTTTCTGTGCAGCTGCGTGCGAATGGGCCGAACAAGACCAGCGTGACAGTGGGCCGATGGATAGAATAGTCATGTATTTCCTTTGTTTGTTGGATGCCACCGTCGGATGGTGCAGCAACGGTGCAGGAGGCTTGGACGTCCCTCTTACGTAGAAACGAGTACGTTAGAGGATCTCGTTCCCACCGGCCCGCGCCGGGCCGGCGCCGCCGCATGTTCCACTCCGCGCGGATCCCCGCTACTTACCACAGCTCCACGCGGCACTAATCAAGTCCGGGGAGCTCACCGGCTCGCCCAAATCCTTCCACTCCCTCCTCGAGGCGGCCGCCGCCTCTCCGACGCTGCTCCCCTACGCGGTCAGCCTGTTCCGTTTAGGCCCGCGGCCGCCCCCTTCCACGCCGTGCTACAACGTCCTTATGCCGTTATGCGGGCTTTCTTTCACGCGGGCCACCCGGAGGACGCCCTGCACCTGTTCGTCGAAATGCTCGACGCGGCTTCTGCCTGCCCTGACCAGCACACCGTCGCCTGCGCCCTCAAGTCATGCGCCAGGATGTGCGCGCTGGATGTAGGGCGGGGCGTCCAGGCGTATGCCACCAAGCGTGGGCTTGTGGTCGATCGTTTCGTGCTGAGCAGCTTGATACATATATACGCGAGCTGTGAGGATGTTGCAGCGGCATGTCTGCTGTTCGACACAGTGGAGGAATAGGGCGTGGTCATGTGGAATGCAATCATCACGGCGTACTTGAAGAACGGAGATTGGATGGAGGTGGTGGAGATGTTTAAGGGCATGCTTGCGGTTGGTGTGGCCTTTGATGAAGTCACATTGGTGAATGTCGTCACGGCATGCGGACGGATAGGTGATGCGAAGCTTGGGAAGTGGGTTGCTGGATATGTGGATGAAAAGGGGCTGGTGAGGAACCGAAACTTGATGACTGCACTGATCGACATGTATGCCAAGTGTGGAGAGCTTGGTAAGGCACGGAGGCTGTTCGACAGGATGCAGTCCAGGGATGTGGTTGCTTGGAGCGCAATGATCTCAGGATACACGCAGGCATATCAATGTCGAGAGGCACTTGCTCTTTTCAGTGAGATGCAGCTTGCTGAAGTTGAGCCGAATGATGTGACCATGGTCAGTGTGCTCTCTGCTTGTGCTGTCCTGGGTGCACTTGAGACAGGAAAGTGGGTGCATTCCTACATAAGAAGGAAGCGTTTACCTCTCACAATTATTCTTGGCACTGCATTGGTGGACTTCTATGCAAAGTATGGATGCATTGAGGATGCAGTTGAAGCATTCGAGTCAATGCCTGTGAAGAACCAATGGAAGGGGCAGGGAAGCATTGAAACTCTTCTCATCCATGCGCAAAGGCCAGTATTGAGCCCACAGATGTGACATTCATTGGTTTTCTCATGGCTTGCAGTCACAGCTGCTTAGTTGAAGAGGGTCGCCGGCATTTTGATAGCATGACTCAGGATTATGGCATTAAGCCAAGAGTTGAGCACTATGGATGTATTGTGGATCTGTTGGGGCGGGCTGGTTTGATAGATGAGGCGTACCAGTTTATCAGAGCCATGCCCATTGAGCCAAACACTGTTATCTGGAGGGCACTACTGTCTTCCTGTGCAGTTCACAAAAATGTTGAAATCGGGGAAGAAGCACTAAAGCAGATCATCTCATTGGACCCCAGCCACAGTGGTGACTACATACTTCTGTCAAATATATATGCATCAGTGGGACAATGGAAGGATGCAGCAATGATTCGAAAGGAAATGAAGGATAGAGGGATTGAGAAAACTCCAGGTTGTAGTCTCATTGAGCTTGATGGGGTTGTCTTTGAGTTCTTTGCTAGACAGTGACCACCCCCAATTGAGGAAGATATACCAGAAAGTTGAGGAGATGATTGATAGGATCAAGATGGCTGGGTATATCCCAAATACAGCTGATGTGAGGCTAGAAGTTGATGAGTATGAGAAGGAAGTATCTGTTTCCCATCACAGTGAGAAGCTGGCCATTGCATTTGGCCTGATGAAGTTGGACCCTGGTGCAACAATTCGTTTATCAAAGAATCTAAGAGTGTGCACAGACTGCCACTCAGCCACAAAGTTGATATCGAAGGTGTACAATAGGGAGATTGTTGTTCGAGACCGGAATAGATTTCATTATTTCAAGGATGGTACTTGCTCCTGCAATGATTACTGGTGATACCAGTTCTCTGTATTTTGCTAAGATCCAGCCTCTTCGTTTCTGCTTTTTTGGGCTGTGGCTGCATCAGGTTTTAGCTACAGTAGAAAGCAGTAGATAGCACCCGATGTTTCTTTTAGACATCAGGATGGACATCAGGTGCACCTGCCTAGTTTGAGGGGAGTGGAAGACAGATTGACATAGTAACTTGTAAATACGAGATTGTATTTTAGCGTTCCTGAAAAGAAAACCTCCACCTGCATCAGATTCTTCAGTTGTAGGTAACCCATGTTAATGAATAATCCTTGTGAAGCTAGTAGATATAGTGATTGTGTACAGATTATACAGTGGTATCGTCAACACCAATAAGAATTGACCTATTTCATTCCATTTAACTAGACTTAGATATCTTACTTTTCAATTTCAGAGATGAGTCCTTGCATGTTTTCTCCATATATCATTTTTGTCAGAGTTGTTGGTTCAATCTATGAAGTTATAAGGTTTCTACTTTTTTAGCACAAAGAACTTATTCACGTGTTACTCATCTTTCTTTGCCTTTTATTTGTGTACTTTTTGTGTTTTCATTCTTCTCATGCTATTGGCATGCTAAACCTTTTCCTCCTAACTACATGTCTACACTTCCGGAGGTGGGAAACAATAGAGATCAGTACCTGAACTCTAAATATATGAGAATTGAATTCCGTTATTGAGTGATGGGCTTAGCTTCACACAACGGTAAACGATTCATGGAATCTATCAATTTTCTTTGTTTATTCCTTAATATCCTTAGCTTTGACTAGTGTGTTTTGCACTCTGGATTCATCAGAGAAACATTACAGCACGACAAGTCAACTACATATTCATTTCCAAAACCTGCTTTGACCTTGTTTGTATTCTGACAAACATTCCATAGGATCCCGTCCTCCATTCGTAGCCTATCAATAAAGTTTTAGGTGTCTCTGCTGGGTTTAGATCTTGTTTGGCTGCAGTCTAATCCACCCCAACATTAGGATGAATTTGGGTGGAAAACTATATAGTGGGCTGAAGTGCCGCCAAACAAGACCTTAGGATCATCAGGATGGTGTCTGAATCAGCAGCCAGCTGCTGTGTTGGCTTCGCAGGCGGCGGTGCCGGCCGTCTGCGGTCTGCCGTGCCGTGTTGGATTGGCGGCCCAAAAGCAGCGGGTTAGGTTCACGCTTAACCCGTCACCCGTGGACGTACAGAGCGCGTGGGAAATCGCCAAATCGGCGCTTGTGGTCTCGATGCCCCGCTTGAAAGGCCCGAAACGAGTTTGCGTCGACCGGCGCCGGGCGCAGCTGGGTTGGTCGGCGTGGGCGGCCGCCCGCTACGCCTATGCAGGGAGTCGGGGACGCCACGAGTACCAGCAGGACGATGCACGAAGCACAATGTGACGTGAAAGTCGTGTTACGGTAATCCACAGCCCGGACAGGAGGCGCAGTCTGCACTCTGCAGTACGTAAGGTGAATGTACGCGGAACGGCGTATGAGAAACTTGGTGCCAAGTCTACCATTCGTTCTTTTTTTGCATTTGTTTTTGTGTGTGAAGTTCATCGTCCGCGTCCACGTAACATTATTGGCAACCGAATTATATAGTACAGTTATATAATATCAGCAGCTCTCGGCAAACAGTAGATGACCACGGCACGGGCACGACATCAGGTGTCCATGGAGACTCTCCAAGTTCATGAGCTCCTTGCACGCCTTCTCCTGGTCCTTGCCACCATGATCCTCTTCAAGCTCATCCTGCCTGCACCATCCAAGAGGCGCGCCGCCAGCACGCCGCCTCCGTTCCCACGTCCAAGAGGACTCCCCATCATCGGCAACCTCCACCAGCTCGGGGCGCACCCACAGGCGTCCCTGGCGGCGCTGGCCGCGCGGCACGTTCAAAAAACTGCTGCTCCGCCTGGGCTCCGTGCCGACGCTCGTCGTCTCGTCCGCCGACGCGGCGCGCGCCGTGTTCCAGCACAACGACCGGGCCCTGTCGGGCGCCCGGCGCTGTACGCGGCCGCCAGGCTCTCCTACGGCCTGCGGAACGTCTCCTTCGCGCCCCCGGACGCGTTCTGGCGCGCGCCGCGCCGCGCGTGCCTGTCGGAGCTCCTCGGCGCCCCGCGCGTGCGCGGGTTCCGAGGCGTCCGGGAGGCCGAGGCCGCCGCGCTCGTCGCCGCCGTGGCGGACGAGTCGTCGTCCAGGAACGCGGACGGTTGTCCCGTGAAACTGAGCGACAGGCTTGTCGCGACGACCAGCCGGATCGTGCGGCGTGTCGCCTTTGGCGACAACGGCGACGCCGACGTCGACAGCAGCATCCGGACTAGGGCTATCCTGGAGCTGGAGGAGACGCAGAGGCTTCTGGGCGCTTTCTTTGTGGCCGATTACATGCCGTGGCTTGGATGGTTGGACGCACTCCGTGGCCTGCGGAGGCCGCTGGAGCCTGGAGCGGAACTTCCGTGAGCTCGATGCGTTCTACGAGAAGGTCATCGACGAGCACATCAACAAGGGCACCAAGTCCAAGGAGGAGGAGGACTTGGTTGACGTGCTCCTCCGCCTGCACAATGGCCCGGCTCACCAGAGCACGCACGTTCGGCAGCCGTAGCCAGATCAAAGGCATCCTAACGGTAAGATATACACATACGACGTCATATATAACACGAGGAGTAGGTAGACAAGTGCATGCCATTGCTTGCATCGATGGACGATTGGCATTCCGTTTGCATGCCAAAGGACATGTTTATTGCTGGGACAGACACGTCGGCGGCGACCGTGGAATGGACGATGACGGAGCTGGTCAGGAACCCGGACGTTTCTTGCCAAGGCGCAGCAAGAGGTGCGTAGCGTCGTGGCGAACAAACACATGGTCCTCGAGTCCGACCTCCCGCGCCGCCGTTACCTGAAGCTAGTCATCAGGGAGTCCCTCCGGCTGCACCCGCCGACGCCGCTCCTGCTGCCGCGGGAGACCACCGAGCCCTGCACGGTGCGCGGCCGCGAGTTGCCAGCCTCGACGCGGGTGCTCGTCAACGCGAAGGCAATCGGCATGGACCCCGACGCGTGGAGAGCCGACGCGGCGCGTTTCGTGCCCGAGCGGCACGAGGGCGACGGCGCGGACCTCAACGACCACAAGCCGTGGCACGACAGCTACGCGCTGGTGCCGTTCGGGGTCGGCCGAAGGAGCTGCCCCGGCGTGCACTTCGGCACGGCCGTGGTGGAGCTGCTGCTCGCCAACCTGCTGCTTTGCTTTGACTGGCGTGCGCCGCATGGGCATGGCTAGGTGGATGTTGAGGAGGAGAACGCGTTGACAGTGCACAGGAAGAACCCACTAGTGCTTGCGGCTAAGAGTCACTATGGGCATTCGGTTAACCGAAACCAATCGATTCTTCGGTTCTTCAGCTAAACCAATCGGTTCTTCGGTTCTTCAGCTAATTCGGTTATGTTACTTTGTAAAAGTAGAACCGAGGAATTTCGGTTTCGGATAATTCGGTTCATTTTCGGTTCTAACCGAAGGAACCTGAAATTTTTAGGAACCTAGAAACAGCCCATTCAATTGCAAATTTCGGCAGCATTTTGCCTGATTTTTCATGCAGTCAACAGGGACAATTTAAACATCAATGCAACATAAAACAACAGTGGAGGGTGCATCCTGCCTCTGCCTCCTGCGCCGATGATGGACTTCTAGCCGCCTACGCCCTGGCCGGCTGGGGGTGGGGGCTGGGCGGCTGGCCGTGCGGGTCACTCCGGGAGTCCGGTGCCCGCCTGCAGCGTGCCGGGCTGCCGGCGTCCCGCCTGCGCCGGTGCGGGCCGTGGGTGACGGTGGAGGGTGGCGGCTGGCCGAAGGCGGAGGGCGGCAGGGCGCCGTGTCGGGGTCGCGGAGGGGAGGGCCAGACCGTCAGAGGGTCACGCCTGTGGAGGCACACGGGCACACGACGGAGGGGAGGGAGAAGGGGGGACGGCGGATCAGCGTGGCTCGAGGTGCGGCGCCGCGGCGGCGGCTAGGGGTCGGGGAGGGGGAGGACTGACCGAGACTGAGGAAGTGAGGAGAGTGCCTGAGTGCTTAGGGTTACCTCTTGGGCTGGGCTAGTGGGCTTTATCTATATGTATTCTATGGGCCTTAACATATTTCGGTTATTTTGGGTCATTTCGGTTAACCGAGGCCTTACCGAACCTAGAACCAAAACCGATCGGTTCGGTTACTTCGGTTTTAGTTCAAGTTATTTCGGTTCGGTTCTCGGTTTTCGGGTTTTCGTGCCCAAAGCGAGCTAAGAGCGAGGCTGATAATACAGTTGGCTTGCTGGCTGTAAGGTTCTTTACATCCTTCTCTCAGTCCACCCGTATAGTAGTTATCTCTTCACTGTTACTATATGGTCCACTTATCTCTCTCACAAGGTTTCTTGATTCTTGTGTCCAAGCCGGCTGTAAGCTTACAGCTGCTTCTCCTTTCTCAACTCTTCTCTCTCCTTCACGTCAGCATTTAGCCAGCTTACAGCCGGTTATTATACTTGCTCTAAATGGAGATGCGTGACCAGTGCTCGGTCTTAATTAATATGGAGTACGCAAGAGACAAGGACACTACACTACAGTCGCTGGCTGAAGTGGGGCGTACTCCCTCCGTCCCCTTTTAATTGTCGCTGGGGAGGTGGGCACAGGAATTAAGGCAGGTGGGCAAAGACCTGAACACCCCTAGATAACAATTATTGACGTTCTGCGGTTTTGGAATGGTATGCCATTAATGTCACATTTTGCTCACCTAGTCCGCAGATTTCTTACAATAAACAAATCAAAATTCACATCACTTGGCGGCAAACACATTTTTTACACCAAACAAATCAGCATCCACTCGGCGGCAAACACAACTTACCGTCAATTTTTATACAGACGAAGCAATCCAAAATTTAAAAGTAGCACTATTTCTCTAACAGCAGTGGCAATAAAGCATGGTTACCCTTTCTTTGCATTCATTTGAACCACTCAGTTCTCATCCATCTCCCCATGGCAATACTAGACTTAAACAAGCTACCAGAAGAGAGAAGAGAGGAGGTGCCAGATCTGAACAAGAATCCTGCTGAACATGGACATGAAAAGGATCATGGTCCCTGGGAAGATGTAGTTGCTGCAGTTCAAGTTGGGGGAGCTGACCACTTTGATGTCCATCCCGCTGAGAATGATGAAGAAGAACAAATTCGTCAAGGTAAGCTCATCTATTTCTATCCAAACTTAGTGTACTGGCTCTAATTCTCTCTATCCTCTCTCCTTAAACTAGTTGTGCTTATTTATTTATATCTCCTAAAATCACAAGCAACAGCACGTGTTCTCTCTAGCCTCTCTCTCTCAAATCATAAATTAGTATGTGCTGGTTTAGTTCATCTCTACTAAAATCACTAGCAACATCTAATAATTTCTAGTGTTTATCTCTCACCTAAAACTCCTTTGCAGCATGGATCCTTATCCTCTCTCTGTCCTAAAATTAATATGAACTGCTTTAATCTATCTCAAATAAAATCACAACCAATATTAGTGGTTTTTCTGTGTAAGGCTGCATGCTCATATTTGTTTCAAGGTCAAAATCAAATTGTAGTGATAGGAATAACTCACATGTGTGGTTGGCAATGCATTCTCATAACCATCACCTTTCTGTACCAGGTGACAATGCTGGCCATCCATTTGTTGCAAATGATCCACATGAAGAAGACCCAGAAAACCTACATGCAGGTGGTTCCCTCAGGTTGAAGTCATCTTTGCAACAATAATTGTCCATGTGAAAAAGTTTGATAATCTATTGTGTAGCACATGTTCTTTCTATTCTCTCTCTCTCTAAATTAGTGTTTCAAACTCTTTTGCAGTCCTCTCTCTGTCCTAAAATTAGTATCAATTGGTGTCCTAAAATTAGTATCAATTGGTTTAGTCTCTCTCGTAAAATTGCAAGCAAGATTAGTCAATTCTCTATGTAAGGCATGCAACTCATAGTTGCTTCAAGTTCAAAATTAAATTGGAATGAGAGGGGACAATAACTCACATGTGTGGGTCACAATGCAATTTTCTAATCATCAGCATGCTTCTGTACCAGGTGACAATGCTGGCCATCCATTTGATTTAAATGATCCACCGGAAGAAGAGGAAGAACAAAATCTACATGCGGGTGATTATTTCTCTCATGTTCAAGTCATGTTTACAACAATAATTGTCCATGTCAAAAAGTTTCATAATCTTTTGTGAAGCAGTTCTCTCTAGCCTCACTCTATCTCCTCAATTTTTATATTCTGGTTTACTTCCTCCCTACTAAAATATCTAGCAACATCTAGGAAATTTTAGTGTTTATTCTCTTTGTTCTAAATTAGTATGAACTGATGTACTGAGAGGGGGAGAATAACTCACATGTCTGGGTGACAATGCATTCTTATAATGATAAGCTTGCTTCTGTACCAGGTGACAGTGCCGGCCATGCATTTGATTTAAATGGCCCACAGGAAGAACAAGATACCTTGTACGATGTCATACACGACTTTGGCGTGTACGCAGATGCTGTTAACATCCAATTTGACGAAGAGGAGTTGTCCGACTTGGATGACAAAGACTATCAGCAACCCCTACAAGAAGAAGCAACAAATATGTTCAAGAATTTGACACAAAGACAAAGACAAGACATATATCAAGATTTGCTTAAGTTAAGCACTAATGGCATATTACAACGAAACAACACAACACTAATTGCTGCAAAGTACAATGTCCATGTGCGTACAATACAACGAATATTATGGCAGAGCGCAAAAAATTATGTGACACAAGGCATACCAGTAGATGTCAGTTCTTTGAGACCTAAGAATTGTGGTCGTAAAAAAATTCAAGTGGACCTCACTAGGGTTGCTGATATTCCCTTAAACAGAAGGGGAACCATAAGGTCATTAGCATATACTCTTGAAATCAATAAAAGCTCTCTACATAGGTTGTTCAAAGAAGGCTTGCTACGACGACACTCCAATGCATTGAGGCCTTATTTGAAGGAAGAAAACAAACAACCAAGGTTGCAGTGGGTTCTCTCTAAGCTAGATGTAAACATCGCTTATGATGCTTTTGCCTTATTCAGCGAGTACTGCTGTTGTATATATAAACAAGGCTGAAGTTGGTTTTGTTAGTACCAGCACCCCATCAGTAGTTGTGTACAAATGTGTTCCTGTTTTAAAAAATCAGGAAGACCTATTTTGTAAGCGTATTGTAGTGCACAGTTGAACTTCTGCTCTTGCATATATATATATATATATATATATATATATATATATATATATATATATGGAGAGTATATTCAATAGCCAGCTATAAAATAAGTTATTCTATAGACACCTTCATTTACGATAATTTTATATACTAATTTACGATAATATCAATACATATTTACAATAGTTGTGTTACTATAACATATGGGGATATTTACCGTAACGTTATAGTAAATCACATAGTAAGGAGTTACTATAATCTCGTAAATTAGCATAGAAATTATCGTAACTCAAAGTGGCTACAGAATAAATTATTCTGTAGCCAACTGCAGAGTAGTACACACACATGCTCCCTAGGAGTAGTTACTCACTCCTCTAGACGGTACAAATACACCCGCCTCCTCACGTTCGACGTGTGACATGTCTTAGCGGGTCAACATGCAAACCCGTTTAGAAAGTATGTACGATCCTAAAATCTAGGATCCTGTGTTACCCCATTTAAAGACAAGAGAACATATGGCCACGGCTCGCGCACAGGGTGGCCACGATATCAAACGAGATGGTGGCCGTTGGATGCCTGCTTGATGGCTGTGATCGCCTTTACCGAACCTGTGACCACGGCGCGCGCACAGGGTGGCCACAATATCAAACGAGATGGTGGCCGTTGGATGCCTGCTTGATGGCTGTGATCGCCTTCACTGAACGGGCGCAATCGGTGTCCGGTCGGAGCTGCTGCGCATTTCCTTCCCGGTCGTCCCGCTCCTCCCTACCGCGCCGCCGCCGCTCGCGCCCCCGGCCGCACCTCCCCCTTCTTCTCCCTCTCTCCCGACGTGACGGTGCACCGGCTGGGCCCCAGCGTGGCCACCTCGACGCCCTGCGTGTGGCCGGAGCGGCGGCGCCCCCGGTGTGCGGCGCGGCTACCCGGACGGCCCCCCGGCGGTGGCTGCCTCCTAGCACGGCGCAGCGTCAGGGCCACAGGAGAGGCCCGCCGTTGGCTGTGGTCGCCGCCTCCCCCGCCGCGGCCGGCTCCCGGAGGTCCTCGCTCCTAGCTGTGTGCCTGTGCTGGAGCAAACCCTAGCTGGCGCCATCTTAGTGGCGCGACGAAAACCAGGTGATAGCCTCTCTCCCTTCTTCGTCCTCCCCTTCCCTCGTCGGCGCCGGGGATGGCCGTTCATCTGCTCTTGCCACACCCCTAGGGTAGATCTGTGCTGCTCATGGAGCACTATCTAGACTTGCCTGCTCCGCCTAACTTGCTCCGCCGCTCCATGTCAGGTTGCCGCGCAGCAGACCTCCCCTGTTGCCTCCACATCAACTGCGATGGTGGCGACTCTGAAGATTGGGAGGAGAAGTTCTTCCCGACGTCACCAAAATCGAGTATGAGGTCAGGCCATGAACGAAAATAAAAACTCAGGTTCTTCAATTAGATTGAGGTTGTGATGCCGTGGTGACAACCTGCTTTAATTTGAGGTAGCTAAATTTTTAGCTTTTATTGCCAGCCAAATTTTTTCTGAAATGGTCGTTATTTGGAAAATGCTATCCTATGTGTCAATGGCATGCGGCCCCAGGCCCAAGCATGGGATAGTAATTTCCCAATATGGGTCTTTGCTGTGGTTAGTGTGGTATTGAGTTAACTACAGCTTATGTAATGTGCTTAGCATAATTGGCCCAACATAAATAAATAATCCTATTTCATGCTCCTAAAATTATAGTTTGTTTTATACCATCTTCATGCCATTTGGTTGCATGTCCCTTGTCCCTATGTTTTACACAGCTACAAATACATTTGTTAAAGTAGAATAACTAAAGTAGTTGTTCATCGTGGATCCATCTGCATAGCTCTTGTTCTTTGTTATTGTGCTTTTGGCCAGAACTCAAATACTTGAATTTGAATCAAAATTCTTAAGAATCATTTTCATCTGCCTAGAGTTAAAATGTTCTGCGGGTGTGTGGATGAACTTGAGAGCCAACTCTCCAAACACGGAAGCCTTACAAAACTCTACTTTTATTATCGGTATCTTACCACAGTAAGTTTATATTGTTGTGTGATTCTCGTGGTCCTTTAAATCTTTTTTAAGTATCTAGACTTTTATGCTGATAATAAGTCATTTCTTTTTTCCTAGGACCCACAGATCTTTCTGAAATAAAATGTTTGGCCTGGAAGGTCGTCGACAGCATTGTTGTGCTTGGCTTGGAGCAGTTTCCAGTTTTCCAGAATGTGCTTCTGCAGTTATTCCTGAACAGGTGTATATTTGAATTCACTATATGATTTCAGTTTGAGCATTATTTTGAGGTTTACAGCATCCTTAAGATTTTTTTTGCAACATGGCGTTTTGAGGATTAGTAAAATATTATAAGGTGCCACATAAGCTATTAATTTTTGCTCGGCAAGATGGACAGTTGCTATGCTTGATCTGTCGAGCAAGACGCAAGCCAACTGCCTATGCCTTGGGATTTGAAGGCTTTGAACTTCCATTGACATAATAATCCTATATGCTCCAACCGTCCACCTCTTACTATGACATAACAATATGTCCCCAGTCTATTACTCAGATTCCTCCTCTATATGGTTATATTTCTATTCTGTGTTTGGCATATTAATTAGTGAATCTTTCTTTGTTTTAAATGTAGGTTAACAAAATTTGCAGACATACTATCTCTTATGTGGAGTCCTTTATTGAGTCTATCATGGGTGGGTTAGAAGGTTTGATAAATATTCTAGATTCAAAAGGTGCGTGGTAAGCACGTTGTGCTTCTCCTCATGTTAGTGCTCATTTTTAGGTTCGTCTTCACATCCTGTTACAGTGTTACGCATTGCTTCCGTTTGACCTTGCTTGGCCCTGGCACCTGAAGATTAATTAATTGAGTGACTTTGTGATGTTCAGTTTCCTTACATGCCACACATGCTAAAAGACAGGACAACAATATTAGAAGTATGCAGCTTGAATACATTTTCTCATATTTAAAATTATTTGATGATATTTAAATTATTGGCTGATATTTTATTTTGCCTTTGTGTTGTCTTAGTTCATCGATCTAAAACCTAGACAGCTTAGGTCGTTGCTTGCCTGCTCATGCTCTTTAGTGAATACTGACGTGTTTATAGTTTAAAAATCGAATTTGCAAACAACTGAACAGATTTGCAAACAACTGAACAAATTTGTTATTTGGCTTCAAATTGAAAAGTGCAATCTTCCTAAAATAATCACATTTGCTCCGGCAGTGTTTCTTCATGTACCTCTTACACCATTTAATTCCAGATTGGGCGTGTTTAGGAAAATAAATAAACCCAGACCCTATATGTTTATCGATGAAACAACCTTCGAGGTAGATCTTTACACTGTCCTCTTATGGTCTACCTACTTTACATTGATTACATTAACTTCAGTGCAGACATCTGCTTAATTTTTTCAGAAAGAATGGCTTCTGGAACTTGCAGGAAATTAAATTTTAGGTGTTTTGGATGTGTTCTTAGTTTCAATAGCAGGTAAAAGGTTTAATGCATATGAAACATCTTCATAATGTCCCATGCATTCCAGGTC